AGTCTTGATGTGGGTGGTTGTGGAGAAGAAGGGATTGGAAACTCGCGTCTCTCTGCACGGCGGATGCGAGATTCGCAATTACTTGCCCGTCGGGCTCGATATCCGTATCTGCTCTCAGAACTCGGAGGGTGCCATTTCTCCCTCATTCTTCGCTTCTTCAGGACCATCCGCTTCGAAAAAGAGAAGTGAGGCCGTAGTGAATGTCAAAGCGGGCCCGGGAGGCTTGCCTTCGGCCATGCCGCCTAGTCAAGAAGCCCTCAGTTTGCTTCTCGATGAGGGCTTCATGGCGCCACGTTCTCGAATCAGAGGTGGCAACAACAGAACATCTGGCACCAGAAAAGAGCCGAGTCACAATCGGACTACAACAGACAGCAACACTTTTTCTACCACTATCCTAGGCAGCGATGGTGATAACATTGCGGGTGGTCTTTCCGGAGATGCGATGACTGCACCTCCAGTTGACTCGACGTATATGCTTCAGAAGTTGATGATGGTACAAGCGCGTGTCTCTTCTCGGCAAATATCGACGTGCGGGTCCTCTTCATCTGATCCTTGCCCCAAGAGTGAAACCGCTTTCGGACAAACAATGATTTTGACACTTCCAGAGATTGTTCAGCCCGATCAAGCCTGCAAAGTCAATTTGACTTCCCCACACCGACATCCCATGACAAGTTGCACCGTTTTGGGACAAGCGCCGCCTGCTAGTCCAGGCGAACCAACTGTCTGGTTCCTATGCCATCTACGACGTGTGATCCTTCATTCCCAGAAATTTATTTCCTCAGCATGTCCTACCCACAGTGATGGTAGGTACATATGGGGGTGGCTTTCTCTTGAGTTATGGCCATTGGCCTACCTTATGAACTCAGGGCTGCCCCTTGATCACCGTGTACTGCCTGGGAAGCACCCGCAACCTGTAGCAGCATCTCCGCTTACTCCGGTCTCTCGAAATAGAGCACCGATCCCACTGCATCCCACTCCTCCCTGTGAGTCCATGTCGTCCATGCCGGCACCTACACCTTATTTGGAGCAAGATATGGTTGCAAGGGACATCGATGACCGGAGACGTAATAGTAATCTCAGCATGAGCGCAAATGATAGCGAAAGCGGTAAGGTACGGCCTTCTGCCCGCGATGTAGACGCGGCCACACGAGCCATTCATGATAAAATCCAGCTGCTTTCTCAAAAACGACTGCAAAAAAAGATGGGTATGACAAGAGAAGTCTCCGCTCCCAGCTCTACTGATGGAAGAGGAGACCATCAAAATGAGGATCTATCAATCAAGGAGGAAGGTGGCCTCAAGCCCTCCGCGAATTCTGCTGCGTTTTCTTTATATGAACCTCAAAATGACCGTGTGTGGTCACCTCTTTCTCCCGGCGCGCCTGCGGCAATCGCGGTTTGCCGCACCGATCCACGATATGGGCTGGCATTTAGCGTCAGGCCGAGTACGTCCACACATGGCACCAATGGCACCCATAAGACTACCGATGGCGATGATTGCTGGATAGGGGCTACCTGCATAGGTGCTCCTTTGATATCCAAGAATCAAACAGACTTTTCTATGTCAAGTTCCGACTTGCTGGCCTGGATTCGAAGCGGAAATATGGGCCATGTCGATGGAAATGCGGCGCTTGATGAATGCCCACAACCTCTTCTTAATCTTGGCTTGTTGGGTCCTGCGGGAGAGCATGGAAGTATTTGGAACGACAGACCTGGGTGCTTTTCAGGACAGCGTCTCATTCCCTACGCTGTCCGCCGACCTGCCTATCTGGGACCGTCGTTACTCGTGGATGTCACACCGCTTTGGACAGTCGCCAATCACTGCCCTTTCCCCTTGTCTCTCCTCGCTTTGGTTTCTCGCCGCCCTATGAACACTACTGGAGCATCCAACAACGTGGCCTCGATGACAGCTGGCTTTGGGGACTTCAATGACGCTGGCTTTCAGGTATTGCCACCGGACGGAAAGGTGGTGCCGCTCAATAACTCTGCCTGGCCATTCACAGATTGGAACAAGAGTGAACGGAGTGTTGGGCCTAACGGCTCAACGGGTATGCCTGCGTTTGCCGTAGGAGTAAAAGTAATGGAGGACTCGGTCACAGGAGAGTTGAAATTGCAAGATGCTCAACTGTCGACGGCACCTGCCCAGCAATGCTGGTGCAAGCCTGTTGAGCTGGATGCTTTGGTCGCCTCTATGCTACCCGTCACGGGTAAGAGCGATGAAGAACGGACTGGTATAACGCACGGCATTGCGGACATTTCCTTGTTTGTCCCTGTCCAAGGTGATAAATGGCTCCCTTTGACGCTTCGCTTGATCTCTCGGAGCGTGCGAGCAGGGGGGCGGAGAGAAAGCGTTGGGATCGGAGAGTGTCATGACATTAAGTCGACAGGAAGAAAGGAAGCGTTTAGCAATGCTCATGGACTTGGTATGCATCGCCTCGAGATTCGTCCGCGTTTGGTCCTCCAAAACTCCATGAGATTGCCCGCACGAGACTGCTTGGCCGTATACTATCCCGACGGGAAATTTCACACGGCGTTTAATAATGACCACGGGCAAGAGAGAAGCCACCCGAAGATTTCGAAAGCAGACTGGCAAATTATTCTGCTCCGGCGTAGCAAGGACGCTTTCTCACCAAAGCACGATGAAAAATCGATGGTGCAACAGGAAGGGTCCTCCCTAACCACCATGAAAGGCGGCATGCCAGATTTACCGCTGCCATCAAGCGATATTCTCGATAACAGTACTGGTGGCATTGATTTGTTGTCCTCCCCCTTGTCATCGTCTACGGTACCTTACTCCTCGCTCCCTCCTCGGTCTCGTATGTCCTCCACGTCATCCCCTACGATGCTTCGACGAGTCTGGTGCCGGGCAAGCCGGCGGCCTTCGGGAAGCAATGAAGAGAATGATTCTGACGATGAAGCAGGGAGGACGGAACATCAAGTACGCGCAAACAAGGTGACTGACACCAAATATGTTAAAAATGTGACATACCGGCAAACATTCGGCCTGTGCATCATCGCCCCTGGTCGCCCTCTCTCAACAGCAGCCGTACTTTCTAACTTTAAGCCCACTACCTTCACAACTCCTTCCCACCCTGTCCCGGGGGCGGGCACCGGCATTCTTGATTCGTCTGATTACCACTACCGGATGTTGGAAATAGAAGCGCTCGGCGAAGATGCACGCGATATCCATCTCCGTTGCCCGCGGCCCGGGGCAGGCCTCGTGGGGCCCAATGGAAAAGATATCATGGCGATCCGAGCGCACCTAAAGTATCATGAGGGTACGTTCTACGTACAAATTTCTGCCGAGCCAAGCATTCCTCTTGTCGTGCTGAACCGCAGTAGTCTGTATGACATTCACGTAGGAGTCGAGCGATGGTCGATCGAACGACAGAAAGAAATGCGAAAGAGACGAAGTAATGTGCGTGACTCGAAGAAGGAGGAGTGCGGATCTGAAAATGGTGCCCTGTTGCCGATGCAGCACACGCTTTGTGTCCCTCCTGGAGCGCGAGTCGAGTGGAATCCTTCACGCCCGGATTTGTATCTATCAGCTATCGCAACGCCAATATTAGATGCAAGCAATCCTCTCTCAGATACTGACGTCGATCGCCAGGATCTAGACGGGTGCACACCGGGAATCACCGAAGGTGCGGCCATGAAAAATGACGAAGGGGCGTCCGGAGCTGCGTTTCGCCGGAGTACGTTCTCCACGAAGAAGACGCCAACTTTTGACTGCCGTCTACGTTGTGCTCTGGCCGCAGGGAAAGCAGGAATCCGGACTGTGGAAAGGGAAGGGGGTGAAAAAGGGGAATGGGAGGACAACATTACCTCAAAGGTCCTTGTCTCGACATGGTCTTCCCTTCTGCATACTGGAAAAAGCTGTGGTGATGGATGTCACCGTTTGAATATGTCATTTTGGAAAGCAAGCGGCTCGATTACCGGTGAAAATAGCACCATTCAATCGAATATTCCGAAGAGCAGTGCAGAGGAAGAGATGGAGGGCGACGGCGAGGAACTGTTACGTGCTTTCTGGCGAACTTCTCTTGCTGCGGTGACTGCTACCTTGTCTACCGCCGCAGGAATAAGTTGCCTTGTCATAGATGATTGTCTAGAGCACCCACACAAAACGGCAACCGACGTTGGCAATATTCCAGGCTTTTCTTCGGCCCCACGACTTAAGGTTGAATCGCAGCGAGACAGGCTGACTACCTTGACAGTCGGGGCTCGTGTACTCGATCTGCAACTTTTGGAGGACGACGTCGCGATACAAAAATTGGGTGGCTACGCTGGTACAAGCACTCGGAGTAATGGAGCTAGAGAGAACGTGGACGAGGCCGTGCCTCCGGGAGCCTTGCATCTACCTGCTTTACTCTTCATTCGTTTCTCGGGCGTCGAGACTCGGTACGATTGCTCGGTTGCCAGCGGGGACGCCTTTTTAAAGGGGTCCCGTACATTGAATGTTAGTCTCGATGGTCTGCAGGTTGACCATCTTGCAAATGGAGCAGAATTTCCGGTGGTTTTGTACTTTTTTGACAAGCAACGCCAGCGGCGTGATTATGACGAATACGCTGTGCTCGACTTCACTTTCAAGGAAGTGTTTCTGAACCCCATCGTGATGGGGGAAGGGCGGCCGCTTTCCTACGTGGAAATGTTAAAGATATCCTCCTCCCGAGTTCGTGTAGGCGTGGACGGTGCTCTCCTTCACACAATTCGTTTCTTCCAAGAAAATTTGACGGCCACGGAGAAAGGAGAGGACAGCGATGCTTCGGCAGGATGGGATGATAGGCTTGGCGTGCCTCGTATCCTTTCTAACAAAGTGGGCCCCGTTGTCCTGACTGAGAACGATCAGACACCATGCACCTTTTTCCAAAGCGTAACTTTCAGTCCCCTGTCCGTCCTCCTTGACGCCCGTGTTTTTGTTCCTGGATCGCGAGTCTTCCTAGGCCTGGACGGCTCCCCCCTTTTCTTCGAAGGGGTTCGCTTGACCGATGTATTCTCCACTCCTCAAGCCTTCCTTAAAGGTATCCTGTCCAATTATGTCGCAGATGCCATCTTCCGCTCCCCTGCCCTTCTTGGCTCATTAGAGATCATCGGCAGCCCTGCAATTTTAGTCTCTCGCGTGGTGAGCGGGTTGAAAGACTTAGTAATGCTTTCAGCCAGCGGATCATTAACGGGGGCCGGCCGAGGACTCCTGTCGCTTACAAGGCACGTTGTGGGAGGAACACTTGCTAGTCTGGCCGGGTTTTCGTCCTCCGTGCGTCGGAACCTGGAACCCGGAGAGCGAGTGCGGGGAGGGCAGCCGCATGGCATCCACGACGCGCATTTTCATCGCCGCAGTGGAAGCGTTGAATTTTCTGGGAATGGAGGCACAAGAGCGGGGAAAGGAGAGGAAGGAAGGCGATTGTCACTACCGGCTGGACTTGATGTCGGCGGGAGCGCGGAGGGGAGTTCCAAAGACGGCGGTACGAGCGGTGGGAGTGGGAATCTGCTGGCTGGGGTCGGTCGAGGATTGTACAAGGCGGTGACTTTCCCAATCAGTGGGGCCATGGGTGTGATCTGGTGGACCTCTGATCGTCTTATAACGAGTACGGGCGTGAATCGAGGGCTAGAGGAAGGAAGGGAGCGACTAGATTATGGTCCAGCTGGAGCGGGTGCCTCTTGCTCTGTGCATTGGGATGCGTACTACCGTCACTCCTGCGGTTTAAGATTTCGCAAGGGGACATTGAAGGCTGTGATACATGCGTACATGGAGCAGAAGAGGGAAAAATTGTATGTGGAAATTACAGGCGAAAGCGAGCAAGGAGGGACTAGAGGGTGGTTTGGGCGCTTCATTGGTGGAGGTGATAGCGCCAGGGACTCCTCGAATAGTGGGCCAAGTAGCAGCGATAATTTTGAGAGCGGACAAACGACTATTCTCCCTGTCCGTGTAGTACTGGCCGAGGAAGACGCGATCTATATTATCGCTCACTCGCATGGGGCGGAGACTTCGGTCTTCAACCTTCGTCTCTCGAATGCTGGCGCGCTGAAATGGCGTCACGTACAAGTGGAGGCTTCGCCATCATCATTGGGCTCAATCGATGGCATTACCATCCATAGAGGGTTGGCAAAATATGAGGCTTCAATTATTGATGGTAAAGAGCACGGAGAAGCCTGGTGGTGGCACTTGATTGAGATGCATGTAGACGGCGGGGAAAGGGGAGTGATTGATCACTTTTCTCCGTTGAAGTTGTGGCTGGTAAATGAGGAGCAAGTACGCCTCCTGAAAGGATTTTTGAGCCGATGGGCCAATGGTACTGGTTAATAGGTAATTTTTTAATGTACATAAAATGTCAAAAAGATCAAGGAACTACTAACATAGCGCTCTACCTGCTGTCGTAAAAAGCTTTGCCACGCCTTGGTGAAGATGAGCAATCCGCATTGAGGATTCATTAAGCAACATTATGGCCAACATGGCTTTATATGATGTTATCTGCTTTTTTTAAAAAAGGCACTTTTTTGTTTCTGCGTGTAGGCGTGCAACGGTGGCACGTAGAACTTGTCACATGTAGGTCGAGTTGAAGTTTTGCTTGTGGCCGTTATGGCTATCGCACCGGTCCAAGCCCGGGCCCGAAGTCCCTACACACAAAACTCGCGCTCAATCAAACTGGTTTTATATCTGTGCGCATGATAACGCACACAGGTGGATATAGATAACGAATGCCGAGAACTGGCCTGCTTTCATGGCCTATTTGTACAGGGGCAATTGTGCTCGTGCTCCTGTTCGTAGCCAGAGCCTCTGCCTTCCTTCATCATCAGTGCCATCGACGCAGGCTTTCGCGTCAATGCGCGGCGCTGAGAGCCCGCACCCCCAAAATGTCAAGTGAAATCGATGAGACTTCAACAATCCAAAGACAGAAGCTTTTCCTGCCATTTCCCCCTTCTGTACGACCCACGTCCCTCGTTTTCAGTGATGCACAGCATAAGGTGTGGACGTTTGAGCAACCCTTCATCACAACAACCAACATTAAGACAAGGTAAGGAGCGCCAGAATATGTTCTATATGCATTTTAAAATTTTTGTTGTATTGTACACCCGATGTCCATGTAACTTTTGGAGATGTGACGCATTGAACGTCTTATACACGCCTATAGGATGAGTGTCTTTAAATGCGAGACATCAATTGTCATGTATTCGCCCATAGCCGCGACCCCCGAGTGTTGTGACATGGTCCGAAATATTGTCGGTGGCATGCCCACTTACATAATCATGCAGGTATGGCAAATTTTGAAGGACGAGAGGTACACGTCATGACTTCATGAACTTGATTCATTTCCTATCCTCCCTTCGCTTTAAATTGGTGTTTGCCGTAAAAGAGCAATGCAATAGACCACACAATTTTCTTAAATGGTTGGCGTCGAGCAGTGCCTTCCGCGCAAATTTTGAACATTTCACCAAGAGAAGGAGACTTGCCGATGCTTAAAGATTCTTCTTCAGGCGGGGAAACTGCGATAATTTTGCCTCTACCTTTTCAGCGGGGAAATCAGCCGATTGTTGAAGCAGCTTTGCTTGACATTGAACCTTTCTTCCGTGAGATTGTACTATTTCACAAGCCCAGTAAGACCCTATTATGTGCAGATGCTATTTGGCGGGTGGTTTCTCCGACTTTCTCGCCCAACATAGTAGCAGCCACTGGATGGAAGTTGTTCGGAGTAAGCGGTGTGTCCCGGTTTCCATATTGGTTTTATTTTCCGCGACGAAAGCGGGCGCAGGTGCAACAATTTGTGGATCAAGTGCAGGCATGGGGCGAAATTGAGCGCTGTCTGCCCGGTCACTTGGATGCCATTCCTGCGGCGGCCGTCGGTGAGGAGCAGACAGCTGAAGAGGTCAAGCGCATTTTCTTACAATCATTTGACTTTATTTTAAGGTGAATGAATGGAGATGCACCAGAATATGAGAACCCTGTGCGATTTTTAAAAAAATAATTGAAAGAGAAAAAAATGATTTTTGGAGTTGATGGTCGATTCCAAAGTTGCAAGAAGGCGTTTCGTCAGGCATACTTTTTAAAGGTAAAAGCCTAAAATCGATTTGTGCATGCAGAAAATACTACACCGGATCATGGAATAAAGGGAGGAGGCAACGAGCGACGCCAGCACTTGTCGCTCATCGCTTAAGCGTAGTTCTTCAGGTTATGGGCAAATGCCATAGAAACGTGATACTTATTCTTGTAGACATCAAGAAACCCTTTTCCAATATTTCTTTTATCAGCTTCTACAAAATCTCCGAGATCAAGGATACCCCGCTGTCTGTGCATTTTCAGTCGAAGCAACACGGAACCGTCATCTTCCCATTCCGGAGAAACCTACCCGGAGGATGGAAAGGCACAGGAATGCTCGGCGGACAACCTTCACGTACGTCCCGCGATTTAATTTGCTGGTCAATTAAGGAACGACGACGCCGCATGGCGTGGGTCTAATTTATGAATTTCAATGCACTTAAAGCAACAGAATGACCATTGATTTGCACGCTCACACATATCAGATGATAGGGTGAAAACAGCGTCGGAAACCCCGAAGGGGTATATTTATTATGCCTTGTGACGGAAGGAGCAAGACAGAAAAAGGGAACAAGAAGAGGACGATGAAGTGGAGATCATTGAGGTCCTTACAGTACGCTCAAAACGGGTGAAGTCGAGCACGCTCTACGGCTACGGCTTTGGCAGCAGCACCCTCAACAGTCTCCATCCTACCAAGACTCTGCCCTCCTTGCCTCCCCTACCTCCAGTGCCAGCATGGGGGAGACTCATAGACGAGCAGAGCACAGCAAAGGTGGCATTGCAGCGCTTTCTGGGCTTTTCGCCACCTCTGTTACGACATGCATACACAGCGTGCTATCGAGGGGTATTCAATGACCGCTTTAATGCCGTGCCGGGGATGGGTATCGCGTCAATTTTTGGACGCTATGGCTCCGGCGTCCGTAGCATTTTGAATGTTTCAGGTTGTTCAACTTTTTCTAGTCGAAGTGTTGAACATGCCGAAGGCCTTGTTAGAGATCAAGGTAGGAGCGACGGGCAGGCAATCTTAAACCCCGAGGTGATCCAGGACGTGGAGGGAGAGGAGGACGACGATGTCTCCTCTCTGCCGAATGGGAATGCTCAAGGCGCCAAATTTTGGAATAAATCTCACCGAAATTTCAATTTTATTTTGAACTGGGCTTTGGAATGTTCTGAGGTATTGAAAAGCTGTCGGCAAGACGTGCAGGACTTGCAAAAATTGCGTGTCGGCCTCTCTCCCGAAGCGGCGACTTTGCTCTGGCAATGCTTTCACAGCCCAAGGGCCATTTGCCGGGTCCACGTGCAACGCGAAGGAAAGAAAACGATTGTGAAGGGAAAGAGTAGCGACCGGAACGACAACGGCGCTCTCCAAGAGCTTGTGAAGCAGCAGGTTGTGAGAGACGTAACGGGGGACCAAGGCGCCTTGTTGATGCACCTCTACGACGTTTTCGCCGCCTTGAGAGCCGATGAACTGGCGCGAATGACTCTGTGCTTGTTCGGTTCCGCGGCTGCTGCCACGTCTGCCGTGTCCTCGAGCCTCCCTTGCTCTTGGAGGGGCCGTCGAAACGCGAGTCGGGAGGCCTCCTTGAAGAGCTTGAGCACGTTCCTGGAAAGGTGTCAGAAAGAAGGAAGCCCGGAGAGAGTGCGGCGAAAGCTCGGGCACGACTTGGTCAAGTGGCTGGCGAAGGAGACGCAGGCGCCGCTGCAGGTGAAAGGAGAGCAGCAGCAGCAGCAGTCCTTCCGACTGGTTTGTCTCGCCCCCCGCCTTGCTAAGTTGCTGCAGCGGCTATTCGCCCTCTTTTTCATGACGAATGGGTACGACGCAGAGGACGCCGTGGTTCTCTGGTGGAACGACTTGGAGACATTACGATTCGCCAGCAGAGGTGACGTGGACGGCGCGGGTCAGGGCAGGAGTGGGGAAGGACTGCTGCCTTTCGCTTCCCGAGGACCCTCCACGTCCACCAAGTCGAGCGCAGACGACGAGAACCAAGAGGCGGAGGCGACCATCCAAAAGGCTGAGCGTCCACCTCGCTCGGAGCTGCCTGTGGCTTGGCCGGGGCTGGGCAGCCCCGAGATCCCGTGCGCCTACAGACAATTTGCGGACACGACCCTTTCCCTGTCGGATGCCTTCGAAGCGGCTGTGGCCTCTGGGGACTCGGCGACTGCCTACGCCTGCTTGCACACGGTGTCCGACCTCTTCCTTCCCCGGCCGATGCTCCCGGCCCACGCATCCGGGTCGGTCGTCTCGGACCCAGCTTGCACGTCGCTGGCGGCGCTGGAAGTCACCCAGGTCAAAACCGGAACGCACCGGTTCCAGCTGGATGTGCCCGCGGAGTACCGAGGGCTGGAGGAGCTGCCAGGTATCCTCTTTAAGGTGTTGGCCCGGGTCATTGGCCGGGGGATCG